TAAACACATATGGTCATATCTAAATCTATCAAATAAACAATTTCACGGTAAGAACTCCCTACCCTTGATATACACTTCTAAGGACTATAAGATTGATGAATCTCAAGAGTTCTGTCATTGCATAGGAAAACAGTCAAGTTCACACATAACTTAAGATAAAAAAATGGCAGACAAAAGTCTACTACCAGAAATTGCAAGTTGAATTAAAGTAAGAATTCATCTCTTAGATTTAGTTTCATGTTCATGTAAATGTCATTAAAATTCAGGCATTCATCTTTCAATCTCATTTATGCCAAACAATACATGAAATTTACTTCAAATATCAAAATAAACACTAGTTTTAATTGGTTATAAATGAATGTTACAAATTATAATTTGCACATTAGGATTAGCATATTCTAATATTAAACAAAAAAGTCAAAAGAACAACCAATACTGTAAAATCTTATCACAAAAAAAAAAAAAAAAAAAAAAAAAAAAACATAAAACAATAAAAAGCTGACAATGCATTTCCCGACTGACACCAAAAGAAAAGAAAAAAGTCACATCTCTCCTAATCTACTTAACGTTCACCTTATTAACTCAGAAATTACAAAGGCAATTACCTGTGGCTAATTTCTTGGTCGCGGGAACCTTCGGGGCAGGTAAGGAGGAGGTTCTCCCAGTGGCACCCACAGTCCTTTTCAAACTTCCCATCTCTCCCTTAATTTCACACCTTATCTAAATCAATTTTCAATTTCCAACCGTCTCTTCACACTCGGTCGTTATCCAAGTATAGATCAATTCACATCAAAAAGCTCCAGTTCACTTAATATTCCTGTTTTTTCATCTTTTTCTCCCTCCTCAGTGCTCACATGATCGCAGACGACGCACGTTCAACTCGCACTATGAAATGTATTAACGTTAAATACATCAAAATATATACTTATCGTGGACGGATTCATTCACACACCGATGAGATTACACTTTTTTCTTTCTTCCAAAGAAAGTGAAGGAAAAGGGAAAGACAACGAGTATTAAAGGGCTGCGAAGAGGACACATATAAATAAATGAGAAATGCGGGGACACGAAGGCCACCCGTCCGACGCAGCCGAAAACAGCTGAGCAACTACGTCACGCGACGTCACTCTCCGGGTTTATAAGAATGGATTTGCCAACGTGCTTTTTCAATTTATTTGTTTCGGGTTTTCTGTGATATTTAGAGTTTTCGGAGTTTTAGGAGGCTGTCTCGAGCTAACTTTTCCTTCGGGATTTGGACTTGATACTCTAACGGATTTTGGTCTAAAGGGTTTTAAAATATACATTTTGACTGTATTCGGTCTCTTACACGTGATGGTTCTGGATCCGGTTAATTGCATACACCACAGAACCGGATGAGTCAGATTTGATTCTTCTACTCGCCACAATAGCTTTACTCAGAAACATTTGTTGCGGAAACGTTGGCCTAATAACCCCTGTCGCTACAGTTAAACGAAAGGTTATAAAATTTCCATATTTGTGTTGGCGTGTCGGATAAAACCCACTTTTGAAATGGCATCCTCACAACATGCGGTTTCTTAAAATAGAATGAATTACTAATATCGAAATGATATCAATATCTCAACTTCTCAGGCATTTCTTAGGATAAACTCCAAGCTTCTGAACATTCTCGGAAATAAAACGACTCTAAAATAACCATTAAACTAATGATAATAAACAAACACAAGTAAACATCCGCAAATTTTGAATGTTTTGTGGAATTTCCTTTCTTTCAAAAACACGGGAGTTTAGGTTACAATGCCCCGGAGAAAGTTATTGCATTATGAGTATAACAAAGCCTGTCCTATTTCTATTTTTAATCTATGTCATTTGTATCATCTCACTGGAATACTGTGAAATTATCTTGTCATATAAATATACCGGAATATATAATTGGTTCTGTTTCAGACATGTGTTCGGTGTATTTTATTTACTGAAAATGTAATAAGGATAGTGTTGTTCGTAAGCAGGTGAATATTTTATTACCAATATATTTAAAAACTTCAATAGAATAACATATAAACTGCGATTGGGGCACATTTATTTCCTACGTAACATCATACCAAAACGCATATATATGCAATCATACACTGACATGAACATACACACAATCATATTTATGTGTGTGTGTGTGTGTGTGTGTGTGTGTGTGTGTGTGTGTGTGTGTGTGTGCGTGCGTGCGTGCGTGTGTGTGTGTGTGTGTGTGTGTGTGTGTGTGTGTGTGTGTGTGTGTGTGCGTGCGTGTGTGTGTGTGTGTGTGTGTGTGTGTGTGTGTGTGTGCGTGCGTGCGTGTGTGCGTGTGTGTGTGTGTGTGTGTGTGTGTGTGTGTGTGTGTGTGTGTGTGTGTGTGTGTGTGTGTGTGTGTGTGTGTGTGTGTGTGCGTGCGAGCGAGCGCGTGTCATCCCCACGATGATGAGTCGAAATTTCTCAAATGACGGAGCATCAAGAAAGCATTCCTGCAAACCCTGACTCTCACCGCAGGTATTCGCCAATGGCCCACTTCTAAAATACATCAAGCTATTACAGTCCACACGAGTGAATTCCCTACTGTTCGCCTCCGGTGATTTTTGCGAACTGGTCAAATTTCAGCGAAAATTAGGTCTCAAATACTGTTAAAACTCTAAACTTACTGTACTTCACATCAACTTTTCTTTCTCTTCCATAAATGTGGTCTGTAAAACACGCTTACGCTTACGCACACGCAAACACACACACACACACACACACACACACACACACACACACACACACACACACACACACACACACACACACACACACACACACACACACACACACACACACACACTTCACAACACACACTTCCTTCCGCCCGAAACAATATCAAGTGGTGCGTCACCAAAAGCCAGCGAAACGCAAAATCTTAAAACAAGTAGAGCTTTGAAATCGGCAAACAACTCCTTCATTTGTTTACGTCCAGTGAGTAAGGTCTGGCTGACTTCCGCCCCGGTAGTTCTGAACGTACATGTAATAACTCTCTACTCTCTCAGACTTTGCCGTTAGTGTCCCCAAGGCCACTACAGCGCTATCAACAGTGGCCTCGATTTGGGTTTTCATTGAGTTTTAGTGTGCAAAGCGTTCTTAATTTTTATGTTCCTTCCTTTTCCTGCGTTATTTACGTTGTTTAACCGTTATTCTTTGCGTTTCAAGGTTGTGGTTTGTGAATAGCTTTTGGAGAGCAGTATGGAATGGGCAATTCAAGCGAGTGTGTTTATTGTTTACGTGTCATGCTTGTGTTGAGGAAGTTTTTAAAAATCCGTAAGAAATAAAACAAACAAATGCTAATCGTCCTTTTCTGAGAATTAGTGATTTTCTACTTTTTCTAATCAGTTCAGGGAAATACGTCTTTTCGTGAAACGTAATGCTAGCTACTACCTGTTAGCGCACATGTGAATAGCCCGTATCGACCTTGTATTGGCTATCACGTGACGGTGGTTTTCCCTTATTGAACATGGAGGAACCGAAATAACCCTATATCGCATGACTGCATCGCTTGTAATGAGAGGTATTCTCTGTCTGTCTCCTTCCTCCCCCCCTCCCTTCCTTCCTTCCTTCCTTCCTTCCTTCCTTCCTTCCTTCCTTCCTTCCTTCCTTCCTTCCTTCCTTCCTTCCTTCCTCCCTCCCTCCCTCCCTCCTTCGCAATAGAAAGAATCTCATAACATGCGGGGAGAGGAGTGAGCATGCAACTCTTGTGGGGTCGTGGCGTCGTAGGGAATCGTGAGACACCGCCGCGGTCTCTCCCCTTGACCACAACTCCGTAACTCTATATATGGACGCGGCTGCTCCCTTCTCTCCGCGTCTTAGCCTCTTCAACTGACCACTCAAAGAGTCCTTTCTTATCGTAGGGATGGCGCGGGAAAAGGGTTGCTAGACGATGAGGTCGTTGAGCTATTGTATTATCCGTTTCTTTTAATTAAGAGTCAGTCGAATGGATAAAGTTCGTTTAGTTTCGAACCTTCCCCGGCCTTTCCTAAATTAGGCGTAACGACCATTAGATGAGCCAATCGCATCAAACGGCTGTGACAAAACACGTGCGTTAACATCGAGGCGCATGGCCGCGTTCCGCTCCCACCGGGTTAGAACAAGAAAGAAAAATGGGAATTGGTCATTAAGTGTCTTCCGGGTGTGGAATTTTCGCTCTTCCGTTACTTCTGTTTGTGCATGTCACGTTATTCTGAAGTGAACTCGCTCGCCAAACAGTACGGAAGAGGTGGGACGCATTTCGCCAAACAAACAAGCGAAGGTAACATTCGATTGGTTTAATATTACTTGCAATAAGAACTCATGCTATCATTTTGAGCGTGTATATTCGTCTGAAAGTTCGTGCTTCACATGAACGAATTGCTTTTATAACGGAGCCAATAACCTCGTTTTAAAAAAGAAAACGCAAACTGGTAAAATTATATTAAGAGTAAAAGGGCAATTCTCTTTTGTCAACTGCGTACATAAATGCAATATCTTA